CCTGACCCTGACCCCGACCCTGACCCCTGACCCTTCCTGCTATTTCTTGAGGTCACTCCTTCCAGGACGCAGTCACGTCTTCCTGTGACTCGCTCATCTCTTCTCAACACACACGTTCCCGGGGCTGATGGCTGATGCCTCTCCAGGTGCGTGCCGGGCCCGCGCGACCCAGAATCCAGAGCGGGGCGGAGGGCTTAGCCGTCCCATAAAGCAGTTCGCCGATGGGTGTTCCAGTAATACAGACTCTGTAAGTGCGCCCCCCACAGAGGAATTCCTTTACCAAAAGACTCAGAGAAACCCACGTCGACAACTCCATCTGAGCAATGCCCGGGGAGGCAAGCTGATGTAATTTTGTTGAATCCAACACCTTCCAAACGCAGTTGGTAACAGGACTCAGCTTTTTAAACAATGTTTCCCTTTGCAGTTCAGTTAACATCCCAAGAAGCCCCGGGGCAGACGGGGATGGGGCCCGGTCCAGCAGCCACCCGGTCTCACCCGTGCACAGTGCAGATCCCCCTGCTTTTGCCTAGGAATTCAACTCACCCTTCGAGGTCCCATGGGCAGCCCACCCCTCCCAGGAAGTTTTTCTCGACTCCTTCAGCCAGAGAGAATCTTTCCCTTCTAAAAATCTCCATGTCAGGGATTGTTCCTAGTGACTTTGGGGCAGGCACTGGGTGTCATGGTTGCTTGAGACGAACTTCGAATCAGATGCAGGTTTGAGTCCTTGCCCTTCTCTTCTGAACTGGGGGCCCTTGAACTTCTCCAAGCCCTGCGTGTAACAGCTTCCTCCTCTGCATTGTGGGCCAAGAGGAGACCTGTGTGCAGTGTTTTCGCATGAACAGCTCAGTAGAGCATACGGCACGTGGCAGGCATTTAATGAGAGGCAGTGGTCACTGTTACTGTTGCTGTTATTGCCGCCACCATTAGGGATGTCAACGTCTATTTGTTGAATGGAGCTGTAGTTTGTGCCAGGACAGAGGGGCTGCTTGGAGTATGTCCCCGGCCACAGAGGTTAACCTGAAGGTCGTCATCACTGACCTCACTTAAATCCCGCCCCCTCCTTTCCGCTCCTACGCTCTGGCATGGAAGTGGTCTGAGTAGTGAATGGGGTGTCCACACCCCGAGTCAGCTCCAAGAAAGAGGCTGCGTGTGGAGGCTGGGCTCCCTCCACACAAGAGCAGAGTTGCTGAGGTCTCCCTCTGTCCACGCCGTAACAGGAAAGCCTGGGGGCTGGCGTGGGGTGAACGAGTCTCTCCTCCTTTCTCTCTGTAATAATCTGATAAATGGCTCCTCCCTACTCTGCCCCTCTCTGCAACCTCTAGGTCCTTTCTTTGGCTGCTCCCAGCCTGGTGGAGACCTCTGGGTAGACCATTATTGCTTAATTACTGGCTAAACGGTCTCATTTGTTCTCCATTTGTCAGTGGTGAGTCCGGGTCGGGGCAGCCAAGAGAATTTTGAAATTCCTCACTGAGCGCTGGCTCTGGGAAGCCAAGGCCCTGGGCCTCCGTCCCCTCTGGCTGGCGAGGCTGGGCACAGAGACGACGGAGCGGCTCCCGGGGCTGGCGTTGGCGTCCTCCCACCACCATCTGCACTGCTGTGTCCACTCTCCTCCTTGCTCTTCTCTTTCTTGTCTTTCCCTGCCTTTCCCTTGACCTCAGCCCAGTAGGGGAGAATGAACTTGGACTCTGCAACCGTGAAACCCAGTCTCTGCAGCAGCCCTGGCCAATGGGTGACTGAGTGTCCGCATTTCCTATGCAAAACGGTGTGATAGCAGCACGGGCCTCCCAGCGGCGCAGCCAGTGTGATGTAAGAGTGAATTTCCATCGTCAGCGACAGTTGTGTATGTTGTGCAATTACTCATTTTAATGATGTTTTTGTCTCCTGCATGATCCATCTCATCCCTCTGGGTCACTTGTATAGAGACTTTCCCTGAAGATGGGGGCGGGGGGGGGGGTGAGGCAGGGACCGCCCTCTCAGGCTGTCCCTGTTTTCTGCTTCCCGCCCACCCCCTCACCTCCCCCCCCCCACCCCTGCAGTGTCCCGCGTGGCTGATGTGGGTCCGGGAGGACCAATTCAGTAATGCGGTTGGAAAACCTTTCCTGGGCTCTCTTTCCTGTGTGAAAAATCAGCTGCGTAATACATGGATGATTTAAAAGGCAGGTATGTTGGCAGCCAGCAGATGGGCTGGCCGGGCCTCTCGGTGAAGGGAAGCTGGGTGCGAAAGTCTGTTGCAGGTTGCGTCCCACGGGAAGCTGACTCCAACCCAGACAGGCCTTGGGGTGCAGGGTGTTTAGTAGGGAGTGCTCTTAGGAACGGCAGCCATGGGAGGGATAGGAAGGAAGCAGGGCTGGGAAGAGGGAGAACTGGAGGCAGAACACAGTCCCAAAATGACCTTGGCCAGCCAGAGCTGGGGTGACTTTTCAGAGTATGTCACGTTGTGGGCGGCGGGCTGGGCCTTTACACCCTCGGGCCAACGGGTCCCTGGGGGTGGGCTGCCCTGGGAAGGGGCAGGGCTTGGGAGAGCTGGCTCTTCAGATGAGGTCATCCCTAAAGGGGATGGGCAGTCGAGGTTGGTCAGTGGGTGGCCTTCCCAGCATCTAGGACAGCTTTCTGAAGGGCCACCTGGGTGGCGCATTACGGAGTTCACTACAGTGGCTCCCAGACGTCTCCTGTAGTCCTGACCTATTTATCCCGGGTCTTCCAGGCCCCACTTCTTGTTGCCTGTGCCCTTGGTCCCCAGGGCTCCTGCTGCTCCCTTCACACCCAGACAGGCAACCAGATGTGGCTTCTGAGTTCTCGGGGATTTTCTGCCTTAGCCTCTGGTCTTCCCCTTGAGCCCAGTGAGTCCTTCTTCAAAGAAAGGACATGAACCCCTTCCTTCACCAGCCAGCTCCTGGATTTTTGTGCTTGTGGAAGGGAGCCATGCCACCAATCATGCAAAACAGCAGATAATGCAAAATCATTTCCATTTGTCCTTCAGTTGCATTACATGATTACAAGGGGACGGGGGAGGCGGGATGGGATCAAGTGTGTGCACTCTGGGTTCAGACCCCCTGTGCGTGCCTCTCTGGTCCTACCATTTATAGGCGGTATGACCTTGAGGAAGGTATCAATACTAAACCTTCCTGTGCCTCAGTTTCCCCATCTGTAACAAGCAAGGCTTAGTAATGGCACTTGTCCCATAAAAACGTCAGCACTGAACGCATTAACTCCATGCCAAGCCCTTAGAACAGTGCCCAGTAAGCAGGAATTTGCCTGGATGGTGATGTTCGGTAGAGAGTTTCGTTAAGACATATTTGTTACCCAGAGCCATCCCCGCTTAGTTGGAGTTAACCCAGAAGAGCTGCAGCAGCAGAAGAAGATGACCTGATGTTAAAGGATCGCCAAGGATGTCCCAACAAGTGGATTGACGCCAGAGAGTGGTCAGTACACAGGGCATGGAAGAAGAGAGTCAGCACCAGGGACAGCTCCCACGGTCCCCATCACCACAAGATCGGCCTCTTCCTAAAGGACCACAAACACACAGACTGGCAACCGCTCATCTCCCAGGCCTCCAGGCGAGCTAAGGGCCCTAAATGCTCACAGATCAGTGCTCTTCCCACTCTCCGTCCTGATTCCCACAGGTAGTAGTAAAAGGACCCAAGGAACCAGCAAGAGGGAAATTCGAGCCCTGAGCCCGCTTTCGATAGCTGCGTGTACTTGGGGCTGGGACAGAGAGGGTGGGATCCTCCTCCCTGGTCTGGGACACTCTTTTCTCGTCTATAAAGCAAGGGGTGACGTGCCAGTTTCTGACCCACTTCCGGGCCTGGGTGGGTCTCAGGGGGTGGAGGCCATGGATCCTAGGGGCCAGCAGATGGCAGCCTCTATCCTGCGTCCACCCTCGAGGCAAACTTTCCCGAGCCCTGCCATGGGCCACCTCTGAGCATCTCTAAATCCTCCACAGGGTCCGCAGCCCTTGAACCCTGAGCGTCTCAGCTCTCGCTGTCACTCCTCCATTACCTTCCCCTCTAAGACCCAGACCCCCAGCTCCTGTCATGACCGCTGGGGCTGGGACCAGGCCTCTGAGATGGAGTTTCCCCTGCTTCTCGGTCTTATTCCCCGTTACTGCCTGGTTCAGAGGCAATGCAATGCTCTCTTCATTCCCGTAGAGGTCTGCATTGCAGGGTTCGGGCAACGAGCCACTGCTCTCCTCCTCCTTCCCCGCCACCCCTCTGGTCTTCCCCTACGGGGTGCTCTGAACTGGCACGCAGAGCGAGCCAGGCTCGGGGTAGGGGGGAGAGGGATGTTGCAGCCTGGATCTCTCACGGTGGGGCTTGTGTTTGCTGGGAGTGGGAGGCGATGTTCTTTGAGTCCCGGGAGATGAAGAAGTGGAAAGGCGCCCTGAGCCATGAGGGTGGTGGGTAATGTCGTAATCATTATTGAGCACCTGCTCTGTGCCAAGCACCCATCTAACCCACAGCGTGTGAAACAGGTACTATTACGGGGAAGTCGATAGTCAGGGAGGTTAAGGCATTTACTGAAGGTCATGCCGCTAAGAAGTGGCAAAGCCAAGCGTCTCAGCGTCTGACTTTGGAGATAAATCAGCCACTGTGGGAGGAGCCCCGAGCAGGAGTCAACCCGCAGGAGTTCTGCTTTCGACTCCTCCCCTGAACTGCAGGTGTGCGATGTGACCTCAGAGAGGGCAATCTTCTCTCCCCGGACCTCAGTTTCTCCATTTGAAAATGGACAGATTGGACTGGGATGCTCGCTAAGGATCCTCCAGCTTTCAGAGTCTATGAATAGGCTCCCCTGGGACCCGTGCCCTTTAAAAACTGTTTGCAAGAACCCACATATGCACAAGCCCAGCCTTATGTACGAGCGCAGTGGGCGGCAGCCTGGATGGTGTGAGTGATGGCTGCTGGGAAGGGTCCCTGCCCGAAATAGCTCAGTCACTCTTCCCACTGCCAAAGTGCCTGGAGTGTCACCGTCGTAGAATCGTGCCTTCCCCCAGTCCTTGTTTCAGAATGCCAGTGTCTGGGGAAGCCAGCAGACTCCAGGTATGTCCTTTCCTTGGGGAGGGGAACTTTTGTCCTGATGGATAGTGAAACTGGTTTGCACTTCGTAACTTCAAAAGAATCCTTCTGCCAAGGTGAGGAGGCTTCCCGGGTCAGACTGGGAGACCGGGCGCCTCCCTCTCATTAACCCGTGAGAGGGGAACGGGAAGGGAGGCCGGAGGATGCCGGTTGCTTTCTGAAGCATCCCAGGCTGTGGATCCAGAGAGACATGGGTTTGAGTTCAGGCAGCCCTGTGACCTTTTGGGATATGCGCTGACTTCCTCCCTCCCCGAGCCAAAGCCCCGACTTCCCTGGATGCCGCAGGCACAGGCTGTTGGAGCGCATCTTTCTGGAGGAGGTGGGATCCGAGCAGCCTCCGCCCTGCCACGTGGGCGTGTTCCCAGGAGACGCCTGGAGGCTGGTGCCTGGGAAATGCCAGCCCTGTCCCCCGGCTCCTCCTGGCACGCCCAGCGCTGCACCCTCCCTTCCCTTTCAGCAGCCTGTCAGAGCCTGATGAATGGAACTCCATCGCGCTCCTCACCTACCCAACTTTGCCTCCACATCCTCCGCCCCGCTCCCTCCAGCAGGCCGGGAAGCTGTTCCCGATGTGGGGGTGCTGTGGACCATCTGCAAATCGAGAACTCCAGCAGCCCCCGTCTCACGTGGCTCCACTGGACAGGTAGGATGAGATGGGAGGCGCCCGGCATGCGATGGGTGCTTGATGAGTGTTGGTGACACCCTAACCACGGCCAGATGGTGAGCTGCGTGAGCCTGAGCCAAGGCTCTGTGCATTCTCTTTCTTGTAACCTATCAGTCCCTTTCGCTCCAGAGAACTCAGCAGAGGGCTGCTGTCACAAACTCACAAAATGACAAGGCTGTAGGGGCACGTATGTGACAGGCACATAATGGGTGCTCAGAATAGAACCTATGGCACCTCTTCCTATGCCACCTCCGGCCCCTGGGGGGTCTGTCTGGGCCTGCCCAGTTACTTTTCCTCTTGCTCCTCTGTCTCCGCTACACGGGCCTTTCCTGGACACCCCAGGCACATCCCTGCCTCAGGTTGCGAGCCCGCCCTGCCCCCTCTGCTGGGACAGCTCTCCCAGGTAGCTTCATGGCTCGCTCCCTCGCTCCCTTCACATCCCTCTCCGCACCACCTCAGCCGAGAAGCCTTCCCTGACTACCCCAGCAAAAACAAGCACCCTAGCACGCCATTCTTCGCCATATTTACCTCTCCCTAAGTTACCTTATGTAGGTCTTTGTTTACCTTCCTCTTGTGAGGGGCTAATTGCACAGACTAGTTGCGACGTTCACAACACAGTCTTATTTGTGGCTGTACCCCCAGCTCCCAGCACCCAGCACAGCGCCTGGCTCATTGTAGGTGTTCGGTAAACATCTGTTGGAGGAGTGAGTGGATTAAGTGATGGGTACAAGTTGGGTGAGATGATTTGTCCGGATTCACTGTTGCCTAACACAGGTGCTGCCAGTCCGCACAGGGTGCCAGAGGCTGTCCGGGCGTTCTAGAGCCACCCTCCATTGTGTGCAGAGTACAAGGGACCGTGCCTACCCAGAATTAGACCCACATTGGCCGTAGCTTAATAAATAGCGTTCATTCTGTAATAATTCATTCAACAAAAACTTCCTGAGCACCTGCTAGGAGCCGGGTGCTGTGCCCGGTGGTAGGGTTACGGTGCTGAGAGGGACACGCGTGTTCACACTACTCTGGCACTCAGGGTGTCCCTGGGGAGGCGACAGGGTTCGCAGAGTGGGGCCCTGGGTGCTGCGCTGACGGGATCTCTGAGTCACTCCCAGGTGGGGTCCCTGCGCAAAGAGCGAATCCGCCTCTGACTGATTTCACCCCTTGTCCTAGGTCTGTGGAACCTCCACATCACACCGTCCTTAAGAACCCCTCCAGCTCCCACGTTCTGAGATTCACTGAGGAGCTCAGGCCGACGGAGGTGCTGGGTGCTCCTGGTCTCAGGCAGCAGGTCGGGACGCTGAGGGGCAGCTCCCCACTGGGGCCCCCGACGAGGCCACACTGAGCCCCAGGCTCGGAAGACCCCAGGGCCCGCCCTGCTGTGCGGGTACCATCCTTTGCCTCCGTCAGCAGCCCCGCACGGCCTGCCCGGAGCTGCCTTCCTGAGTGGAGTGGTGAAAGCCGGGCTGAGTGCCAGCCCTTAGGGATAGCTTCCCAGCTTCCCGCAGCCAGGAGGGGGCAGGGCGGGGACACGGTGATGATGTGGGATGGGGAAGAGGATGACAGCTTCCCGTCCATCAGAGCATCAGAGGCTGACAGGCTGCTGACAGGGAAGGGAGGGGTGCAGAGCTGGCCTTGCCGGGCGGAGCTGGGGGAGAGGGCTGGCATTTCCCGGGCACTGGCTGCTGGGCCTCTCCTGGAAACAGGCCCCCCCCAGCAGGGCTGGGGGGGCGGCTGGATGCCACCTCCCACATTCCACAGCCTGTGGGTGCTGACTCCCAAAGGCAGGGAGTTGGCTGAGGGAGGGAAGAAGTCACAGCAAAACACGAAAGGAAGACCTTTGCAATAAGGGTGCTGTTTGTCTCTGGAGAGCTCCCCGCTCCCCTAAAAATGCAGGAAGCATGTAAGTCAGAGGCCAAGAAGAACATCCTGACTCGGCCAGTTGCCAGCCTGGGAATTGTATTATCAGAGAGGGGCGTGCAAACCTGTGCAGAGGTTGCTATTTCTGATTTTAGAGTCATCTGTATGAATTCTCATTTACTCTTTCACTCATTCAACCTTATGTACCTTACTGTGTGCCTGGCTGAGACCTGGGACAATGAAGATAAATAAGACTCGGCCCCTGCCCTGAAGGAGCGTGTGAATGAGACAAGACATGGGCCCAACGACTGTCACACGCCAGAGCTGGTGCTGCCATCACAGAGGGATCGACAACGGGCAGCAGGGATAAGAGGAGGGAGAGGGGAGAGGACACTTGGGACCCAGGGGATCCCAGAAGGCTTCCTGTAGGAGGAGGCATCTGAACCGGGCCTTATGGTATCTCAAGCTCCCCGGGAGGAGAGAGGATGGCGTGGACAGAGACTCGGAGGTGGGAGAGTGAAGGTCCAGGCAGAAGTGAAGACCACCATGTGGCTGGGTTCCCTGGTTTGGGCAGGGGTGCTGAGACAGTTGTGGTGGCCAGGGAGGGCTGGGCCACCTGACCCGCACCTGGCCGGTCAGTGCAGTCCACTCCCCTGCCTACGTGGTTGGTTCCAGAACGGCACGAGCTCCAGGACGGCCCAGTGAAAATCGGCCTCGGGACCTCTGCTGCAGTCACCCCTGCAGCTGCTGTCATTTATAACCAAGTTGGTTCAGGCTCTGCTCCCAGAAGGTTATATATTTCTCGCAGTGCTGGGGGCTGGAATTCCTAGGTCAGGGCGCCAACAAGGTGGTGTGGTCTGGCGTGAGCCCTGGTGCTGGGTTGCAGAGGGCTGTCCACTTGCTGTGGCCTCACGTGGTGGAGAGCAGAGACGTTCTGGCCCCTGCGTCCCCTTATAAGGGCGCCCATCCCACGCTGGGGGCTCCACCTCTGTGACCTCACCCAAACCCAGTGACCTCCCAAAGGCCCCACCCCTCAAGTGCCCCATGTGAGATTAGGGCTGCAACATTTGTGTTTGGGGGGACACACCCATCCCATCCACAGCAGAGTTACTCTGTGCTCCTCCGATAGGGGAGATGCAGAGACGGGGACACCAGGACCAGGGACAGCTGGGTCGAGGCCCCGCTCTGCCCCGCACTCACCGTGCAGCCTGGGACACGTGGCTGCCTTCCCGTCGGGGGCCTCAGTTTCCGTGCTTGTGGAAGAAGGAACTCAGATGAACATTGAGGCCCCGCCAGCGCGTCCACCCTGAATTGACCCATCTCTCATGCGCACCTCTGCATCCTGGTGTCACCGTCTCGTGTGGGCGTGGACGGGGCGTGGTGGGGGGAGCTCTGCTGAATATCCCAGCACGAGAGCATGGGAAACCGTAACAATCATTGCGTGCGATTTCTGGGCCCACCTGGCTGTGCCTCTGCGTCCCTCCCTGCACAAGACTGGGGGAGATTTTTGATGGGCTTTGCATCTTGCAAGGAGGCAGAACCCCGCCTGGCTCTCCCTCTCCGTTTGCAGTGGAGACTCGGAGGTGGCCCAGCTGGAGCCCGGGACGTGGAGGCTTGCAGCCTCTGCCTCCCCCAGCATCTCCTCCATCTCTGTTCCCCACCAGGCTGGGAAGTTCATTATTTCCCCGACCTACTCTTCTGGTGAGACTGAAATTAATTTCCCATCTCCTCCCCTCCCAAGCCTTGCAATCATTAAATGCCAGGGAAAGTTAAATAAACAGCTGATTTACAGAAGCATTTTCTTTCTTTCCTTCTTTCTTTCTTTTTTTTTTTTTTTTAAAGAAAAGCAGGCACCTCTATTAATCAGTTGTGGCGAGAGCAGTCTGATTAAGCAGTCGGCGTACCCTTCAGTGGAGCGGCTGGAGGGCCTAGCTCCGGGCGGGCGAGAGGCTCCTAATCAGAGACTAAAAATAACCCAGGCTCCTGCCCAGCCCCCCAGCCCCTCGGAGGCCAGGACCAGGTCTCTTTTGCAGGCAGGGGTGAAGCCAGGCACCCGGCCCCGAGCCCCTGGGGCTCATCACCGTTCTCAGCTGAAAGGCTTTTTACCAATAATGTCACGCAACTCCACTGTTGTATAGAGAGACTCAGAGACAGGAAGGGACCCGCCCAGGGTCACACAGCAAGGGCGTGATGGTGCTGGGATTTTGAACCCTGAATCCCACTTTAGGGATAAAGAGGCTTCCAGGTCTGAATGCCTTGAATGACTTGGCAAAGGAAAGGAAGCGCACACACGTCCTGGCACCGTCAACGGGCCCTGCCCGGCCCACGCACAGGTGCGCTGTTTACTCACTCACGCGCAGCCACACCTGCCCCGGGAGCTGGCGCCTGAACCGCTTCTCTGCGTCGTCCCTGGACAGCAGAGTGGTTTCCTGTCCACCCTCCTGTGAGGTCTCCTAGGACTATCTAGGCTGAATGGAGGACTTTGTCCACCAATTAATCTTGTGCCTTCGGGTCCCTGGAAGCTTCCTGCAGCCTCCTGGGGACTTTGGCACAGCAGGGAGCCACGTGGGCCGTGCCAGCCACCCTGGGCTCCGGTCCTTCCTCTCCCCTCAGAGGCTGGTGACTCTGGCCCCTTGGGACCCAGCACCTTTCGTGACAATAGGGACAGAAGTGTTTTCTTCCCAAGGCCATGGCGGAGATTAAATGAGGGGATTTATAAAGCACCCGCTACCAGCCCAGGTCCCCAGGGGCACTCTGTCATGTGTCTCCCTGCCTTGGCACATAGTAGAAGCTCAGTAAATGTATGGGACCCCCTATCACCCCCAGGCATTTACTGAGACCAGGCATTTACTGAGCAATCGCCCTGTGCCAGGTGCTGTGCCCAGCTCAGAGGCAAAGATGTCTCCGTGGAGGAGTGCCCAAGATGGCAGGTGAGACAGGCGTGCACGGAAAGTATTCCAAATGAGGCAGAAAATGCTATAAAAGGCGAAACAATGGTCACAGCAATACTTAGACTTCACATGTCTAGGCACTTCCTATGGACCCGGGGGTCTGCCTGAAGTGCTTTGCCTCTTAATAAATTCTCATCAACCCTACGAGGTTATTACCTTTATTGTATAGATGAGGACACTGAGGCACAGAGAGGGTTAGGAACTTGCCCAAGGTCACACAGCAGTGAGATGGTGAAAAGGGCAGTGGAAGCGCAGAGGAAGGGATGATCCCAGAGGGGGAATCAGGTGCGAAAGGGAGAACTTTGGGGTGGGCCTTGAATCTTGAGACTTCCGTCCCTTCTTTCCAATCCCTCCACCCCCGCCGAGGCATCCCACCCCACTGCTTAACTCTGAAAGGACACTTGCGGTCCTTTCTGCAAGCCCTGATTGGACAGCAATGAGCACCTGACCAGTGGACTGGACCAATGAGACTCTTGCTCACGAGAATTTCAACTTGCAGAACCAGAGAATGGGAGCGGGACCATCACATGCCTGGGGGGTCAAAGAGAAGGAGGGCGGACAGAGCAGATCCAGACACAAGCAGAGCCCAGAAGCTTTGGTAGTGCTCGGGGGGCGGGGGCGGGGGAGAGGGTAGGAATGAGCCTGGTTTGGATCCGATTCTTTCCCATTTCTGAGTTCTAGGGGCCTGGCTGGTCTTCCAGCTTCTGGGCTCCCGGGGCACCCTTGTAGCCAGCCTCATAATCAGTCGTCTTTACTTAGGCGAAGGTAGGGGCTTTGGTTTCTTGCCGCCAAAAAACGCCAGCCGAAGACAGATGAGTGAATGAGTCTGTGTAGGCTGGAGAAGACAGGGGAGGGACGGAGGCTGGGACAGGGAGGGAGAGGCGTTCTGGAAACTTCAGGCTGGGATCAGGGCGGGAGGGAGGGGGGCCGTGGGGAGCGGGAACTGGGGACAGACAGCACGGAGCCTGTGGGCCTGTCTGCCTCCGAGGTCGGGTCCAGGTGTCGATGGGGCTGCTCCATTTGTGAGGCTGCCGGGCCCTCCGCCTTATCACAGCGGCTCCATAGCTCATTTTCAATCAGGACCTGTCCCCAGCACATAAGCAGAGTTAATTAAACCTAGCCCTCCCTTTGGCCAGGAATTGAAAAGCCACCTCCTCATAGAACAATTAATATTTACAGCCCCGCCCCCTCTTCCTTCCTCCCTCCTTCTCTTAATGTCTCGCCTTCATCATCTCAGACTCTGCTTGCTGCCCATAAATTAGCATTAAGAAGCCAAGCAGCAAGGAGGAGGGCAGGGACAAGAGGGCCCATTTATTCCTCCCGGCACAGGGAGACCCTGCCTGTTAGCAAAGGTTAGGGCTAGCCACGGTGGCTGGAGAGCCAGCCGCTGGGTCGCTGGGAGCAGGTGTCTTCACCTCTCTGTTTTCTCGCCCGTATCACGGGGGTCATACGGTCTAGTGCATAAGACTGCTGTCGGGGTGAAATGAGATCCGTACAAAGAAAGTGCCAGGCGCAGTGCCTGGCGTGGATGTATCCTACCTATTTCTTTCTTACTCCCAAGGTAGGTGGGGCCAGGGACCCCTGGTCTAAAGCCAGGTGGGCCTCAGACTTGCTGTGTGACATCAGGCTGGTTACTTGGCTTCTCTGAGCGTCTGCGGAGAAGAAGACCGTGGAGAGCCAGAGGGCAGGCAGTATGGCGCAGCGGTTAAGGGTCTGTGATCTTGTATCCCATCCTCCCTGTCTCTACTGACTCAAGCAAGGGCTTAACTCTCTGTGCCTCAATTTCCTGGACTGTAAAATGGGGCGACACCTCCCCTCTTTGAGGGGTCAAAGGTGCTAGTGTGTCTGAAGCATTCGGAACAGCGCTCAGGGCAGAATCAGCGCTTGTTAAGTGGCGGCTATTCTTACTTATTTATCTGGGTCCACTCCCACCCTCAGACAAGCCTGGGACCAGCAGTGAAGCCTGTTCTCAGGGGATGAGTCTGGACTTTCTATCCGAAGCGACTCCAGAAAGAAGAGGCCTCTGCCTTGCCCCAGCGGTCCCCATGTTTAAGAGCGTGAAGGGTGGGTGAGGATTTTGGTGCCTCTGTTTCATCTTTTTTAAAACAGAGCTAATTAAGCTCTGCAGACAGGGCTGGCAGGAGGAATTAAGTGGGATTACAGTGCAAAGTTCTTGGCGGGTGGCTCTTCCCTCCGTCCACGGCCACCCTCTACTGACAGGCCACTGCCACCCCTGAGCGTCTCCAGCCAACCAGAAGCACTCATGGAGCACCCGCTGCATGCAGGCGTCATGCCGAGTGCTGGGGATGGAGACAGGCAGGACCCAGACCTGGAGCTGCCCCCGCTCAGGGCAGAAGTGCGGACTTGACATGCGTTGCACTAAACAGTGTCTTCAGGCTCTGGGACGGGATGAAGGCTCCCCAGGGAGCGCTGCTTCTAGAGCAGAGTGGGCAGGCACAGACACCGGGCCGGAGCGGCCAATAACAAGAGAGGAGCTTCTGAGAACGAGATGCCACGGACTCCCGTTTGGGGGGTTGGCCCTGCCCCAGCCGTTTTGACTGGTAGGCGCACTCTGGGGTCTGACCCGAATCCTCCCTGTCTCAAAAGGATCTCCAGGTGGCATCATCCCAGGGACGGATCTTGGGAACCATGTTGGCCAGTGTGAGGTCAGAGAGTGAGATGGGAGTCCTCACGGGACTCGGGAGGCAGCTCCCAAAGCAGATCCGGCCACGTTTGGAGCCCTGGAGGCCTTGGGGCTGCTGGGATGACCAGGGGGAGGGGACAAGGTTGATGGTGGCGGGTTAGCGCCACCTGCACGGGACAACTGGACAACTGGACTGTTGGGACTGAGGTCCATCTGCTTTACGCCCTGGAGATGGGCAGCTTTTAGGTATATGCTGGTTCTTACTGTTGTTACAGTCTTTATCTGCTGGTGTGCTGGGCCACGAAGCCATCCGTGTGTGTTTCCTCGCTGTGTCTGAAAGGCAAGGCTTTCGGTTTGTTGTCGTTGTTAGGAGTGGGAGCACAGAGAGGGTTTGAGTTCACCTCCCTGCTGCCCTGGCAGGTCTCCTTTCCCAGGTGCAGCGCCCCCTCTGGCGATGGCCAGAATTGCACTCTTTTCAAATGAGTGTTGAGTAGAGGAAAATGCTGCTCAACAGGGGCTCCGAGTCCGTCCGCATGTCTTGTCTCACGGTGTCCTTCACTGTCACCATTTGACAGGAGAGGACAGCAAAGCCCAGAGAGGTTTGGCGACTTGTCTAGGGCCACACAGCATGCTGAGCCACCACTGCCAGCCTCTGGTTAAGGGCTCAGAGTGTCAGGCCCCTGCCCCCCACCAACACTGCCGTGATCTTCACCAACTCTATGTTAAGGTCTTCTGGTCATTTCTACAACCCTGTGTCATGTGATCCTCTCCACAGCCCCATGATCTGGGTGGGTCAGTAGCAATCACACATTATTGTCACTTTTCAAAGGGGACACCTGCGGCTCCGCGGGGGCTCACGGTGGCCTCAGTCACACAGAGTGAGGTGATTGGGCCTGCACAGTGGGGCAGCCCACCCGGGAAGGCAGGGACCCGCCTCTCTGCATCCTGCCGCCCCCACCCCCCACCCCCACCCCCAGCCTTCAGCAGCCCCCCAGCACAACTCCGAGGCTCCTCAGCTGAGAGCGCTAGAGGGTGGGGTAGGCAGGCACCCACAGAAACCGTTTTATGGGCCTGGGATCCCCAAACACCAACATGCGATGCTTTTGTCTTCTCGTAAAGAACAGAAGACATTCTGAGCTCTGACCACCAACCCTGCTCTCAGCC